GGCTACAGAAAAGGCAAAAATTATGTTAATTATTTCCGGAATCGGCCAGAATTTATAAGAACAGATTATAAACTTAACAAATAGATAGAAAATAGTTCGGTTTTTGTCATTTATAACACGAAAAAATCCAAAAAAAAAAAAAAAATCAAGTGGCCGAATACTTTTTTGACTGACTGTAAGTATCGATAGTCAGTGATGGGATGCGCATAAACACAAGATGTGTGCAATGTAGATCTACCATTGCACGGTCCTTCGTGTACGAAAGGTACACGCTACAGCATGTTATATCATCTTGTCATCGAGTAACACCGACATTGCTATGGCCACTGCTGATGTGTGTAGAGTTTCTATTCCGTAATGAATGTATTGAATGTGCTTCGGCAGATATTATAAGACGAAAAATATCGTTAGTAATTACGACGAGTCACTACTTTGTTCTTGACGACAAACAATTCATCACGAATGTATAAAGCCAACGTTCAAATATTTGTGGGTGTGCAATGATTAGTTTAGATACAAAAACACATAAATATGTAGCAATAAACATTTCATTTATTTTATTTATATTTTTTTCATTCAGCAAATGATATTCACAAAAAAATGTCTATATATTCAAATTGTCTTTTTTGTTCGGTTAATTTTGATTATTAACATTAAAGTTTAAGTAAATTAGCGCATTGCTCAACGGAGCGTTAACGGTTTAGATTTTAAATGCTCCTACTGCGAGTAAATTTTGTATAACGGACGTAGCAAAGAATGTGTACCATTTGCGAGTTAAATAATCTCGTGCAGTTTGGCGTCATTTCCTCCACTTTCATATGTTCGCATTGATGTTTGAACTTTGGCAAGTAAGCTTCTACAATGGACGTTAAATGCGAGTAGAGACGCCACAAAAATGACTCCAATATAGTCGATTATTGATCGAACTACTTTTAGATGCAAACCATTCCAAGTCAATTATAGACATGAGGCAATTGAGCACATTTATTTGGAATATTACGTATATAACAATGTTAATTGTCAAGATGAATAATTTCAACGAACTCGAACTGGACAAGCGGTGATTAAATAATTTGAATTGTTATAAAGTATTTTTTTGGTTATTTGTAGTTGGATTAAGTGTGATTATCTCATTAAAAAATAAATTTTTTTTTCTTCACAAAAATTTTTGCACAAAAAATAGTTTTTGTTTCCGAAAATATTCTCGTCAGTCATTATAAAACTAGAGACATTTTTCTATTGACCATTGGAGCCTTATTCATTGAAATTCGAACGGTTGTCCTCCTCAAAATAAACATTTTACGTATACAGATAGATGTGGAACTTAAAACGCTCGCCGCAGTTAGTTTATCTACCAGAAACAAATTGGCTAATTGAGAAAATATACACTTAAATCAGGACCTAAAACACAACTTCTGTATTTTGACCTTATCGCAATTATCACAGATTAGTAAAAGAATTTAACAATTAATACAAGAAGGAAACGCACTTGATTAGACAAATTCAGCAAAATTGTTTATGTTAACCAAATTAATTTTTAGCGAGAAAACTTATTTGAATAAGGAAAAGTTGATTTTGTTTGAAATTTATGGCATTTCGTGATTTGTGACAAACATTTCAGAACAGCCTCAAAATGCTCTTCGATTGGTTAGTAGGTGGGCGGTGAACTGATCGCCAGACGTATCGCCTAGAATATAATTAAGAATTTGCGGTGTTAGTAACGCTGGACATGCCAACGCAATTGATGTTGAGATTAAATTGAATTGCATGTTAAATGAGAGCTCAGGCTTTAGTTGTATTAGGCAGTGCGAATGTAAATTTGATTTGGTGCAACTTATTTTTGGAATACAGATTTTTTTTGTAGGTATTGGAACGGAACCTTTTGATTTTGGAATTGAGTGTATTTTGAATTATTGCAAATTGCTCAATGGAACCACTACTTCAATTAATTTTACAACATTTTCGAGAGAAAATTACTTCTATCAAAACATTTAGAATTTTTTTTTTTTTTGAGAAGAAATTGTTAATTTTCAGAATGAAATTTAATTATTTGAAAAAAAAAAAATATTCCTGATCAATTTAGAAATTTTCAGAGAGTATGTTTATGCTGCTAAATAGGTCTGAGCTGAGCTGAATTAGCTGACTTAGCTGACTCAGGCGCTCGAAGCGTTATTTTAACGCGTTAATAGTGTCAATTTCACATTGCTAGTAAAATTCCACGTTGTTCAGTAATTTCACTAAAGAAGATCTCTGTTAGTAGAGGAAATCATTCACTGTGAATCCGGTAAAATAATGCTTCAGGCGCCTGAATCGGCAAATTCTGCTTAGATCAGACCTGTTCAGCAGCAGAAAAAAATCTTTGTGAATTTTTGAACAAATTTCTAATTTTCTACTGTATAATTATTTAAGTAAATTGTCCATTTTTGTAAAAATTTATAATTACAGCAAAAAATATCCGATTGTAGAATGAATTTTTTAACATTTTCAACGAATGTTACAATTTTGAAAAAGAATCTCATATTTTTGGCAGAAAATTTATGTTTAAAAATTCCAAAATTTTCAAAAAAAATTATCCAATTAAAATCTCAATATTTTGGCAAAATTTCTAATGTTCAAAATTTTAACTTTTGCTATTCAAAATGTTCAAGCGTCGTATTATGTGAATATTTGTTCAAATTGAACAATTGCCTATTAAAACATCTTATTTCCAATGCAAAAAAATTCCTAAAAACTTCTTTGAAAAGAAAAAATTTTTTTGTTTCACTCAATCAATAAAAAAAATCCAAATAATCTTTCATTTCGAAAGAAAAATCCATTTCAAAAATTTCAACTACCAATAATTCGCCCTTCAATAAAATGGGTCGATATAAAAAATATTGTCTTTTGTCGATGTGGAATGTCTTTAGAGAGAAAATCTACTGGGTCATGAATAAAACGGAAGCGAACAATACACTAACGCACACCATTTAAAAAGTAACGTATGTTTAGGGTCAATAAATTCGCACAAGTGAAATCAAAAAGATCATCAATTAAGTGGAATGCAACTACTGAGGAGTGTGAGTGTGTCGAGGTATTGCTTAAAAAGGTACAATGTATGAAATCTAATAAAATTCGAAGGATGATTGAGTCGGTTTTTACAGCCGTTTTCGGGTGGGTGATGAATGTGGATTGGGTTTCTTTTGTTTGTCGTTGGGTCGAACGGTTGTCGGTAGTTTCTTTGGTGATGTTGGTGCTGGGGGTTTTCTTGTGAGTATATCTTGTGTGGTCGAGCTATTCACTTTTTTATTGCCAATTTTTTTGTCCTGTGGTTTTTGGTGGCGATCATTTAGGCCATCGCTAATTTTCTCAATGAATGTCAACGTATTTTTGCAGTAATTCTTTTGGGCCATTTTATTTGCGGTGCCATTTTGTGTGTCAACACCTCGTTTGGTTTGGAATTTTTTCGGTTGTTGATCGCTGATCGTTTTTTGGTTTGATGATCGACTATTTAAAATGGGTGATGAGACTGGGTGCAATCGTGTAAAAACGGACATGTTTGGTGGCTTTGTGACGACTAAATCAAAATGGTCCACATTTTTGCCAGGGAAAAACATGTCATTCAATGATACTTTTGGTTGTTTCAACTTGGTCTTTGCTGTTTTCTTCGCAATTTTTGCATCGAAAATTTCCAATGCTTCCAATTTTGACTTGCACTTATTCAAATTCTCACGTACTTCGTCCAGAGAGTATTTTATTTCGTCGAGAGATTCATCATTTTCGGGTAGTGCCACTTCGAATGTTGAATTTTTCAACGTTTTGGGTGAAATAAATTTGGCTTCGATCGATTGGGGATTACTTTCCGACTCAATGGTCACATTGAGCGAGTCGGTATCGATGTAATTGAGACTGGTGTCACAGCTCGAGTCAAAATCATCAGAATAACAATTGTTTAAGTCTTTGACATCGTTCAGCGTAAGTGATCCATCGTTCACATGGATAATGAAACCCTTTTCACCGTACGGCTTGGACTTTTTCCCAATTTGCTTGATATTATTCGCATCGCTGAGTGGTATCTTTGGGAAACTGAAGTAATTTGGTCCTCGGTCCGAGTCAAAATCATCGGTGTTTGCCGATGAGATTGAATTTTCATTGCCACTGTCCCATGAACATGAACTTTGCTGGCTGATCATATTAGCCAATGACCGAAGCGACCGCTGCTTTTGTAATCTCTCCTGACGACGAAACCGAAGACTGTTCCGCAATCGCTCCCCATTCGGCGAGAAGTCCTTGCTGAGATGCGGTGATTTTGGGATTTCCCGAATAAACGGCGAATATTCGCTGGGCGTATTTTCATTCGAAGATGGCACTTGATCAGTGGTTTTATCATTTGCACTAAAACTACTACTATGACTACGATTATTGTCAAATGAGCTACTCGTGTGCTTGCTATTGCTATTTGGACTGCTGAAGCTAATACCATTGGTCGTGCTTACATCCGCCATCGGCATTATTATCGAACTGGGTCCACTGTCATCGATATCCATGCTTGGTATTGCTTCTATCTCAGTCACATTGCTATTGTTTACAATAAAATCAGACTTTTTACTTAAAGGCGACGGCGATCGAGACATTGACAGTCTTGTGTCGGTTGGTTTCACTGACGGTGGCGAATCCAATTTCTCGAATCCAGTGTCTTTGAAGTTTTCAATATCGTATCGAATTTTTGCCGAGAAATTTCTCCCTTGAGCTAAGTGCTTGGCTAAATTTTCCAGCCACACGTCCAACACTTCGAAGGAGGGTCTGCAAAAATTGAATATGGATCAAGTTTGATTGAAAAAGAAAATTCATCGAAAGAAATAGCTACATTATAGGTATCTAATACATATTAGTTCAAATAGTTATCAGTGTAAAAGAATCTAAAATTTAGTTCAAATTAATTTGATTAAAAATGTGGAAAAAATATCTTCGGAGGAAATGTTTTACTTCAATAACTTTATTTTTATTTAATGTGCTCACCTCGCATCAGGGTTTAAATCGCAGCACAAAAATGCGATTTTATAAAACAAATCGGGGCTATCTGCGCAAAATTTTTCGCGGAATACCATTTGGTTCAGGCCAAAATCAGATGTTCGCGGTAAATAGTCTGGATCAGCATGAACTCGGCCAATGATCTGAATGAGGACAAAAGAGGAAATTCAATCAATCTTAATTTTCTATTTTCATTTTTTTTCAATTCATTTTTTTTATTATTTAAATAACTAAATAGAGATGTGACCAAATTATTGATTTAAAAGGTATATTAAATATGTATGTTAAATCAAATCTTATTTCATGATTACTAAATGGCATTCTATTAGATTTTTTGTTTTAATTATGCTAAATTATTAATCATCAATTGATTAATTTAATAACAAATTTAATTAAACTGGGTAATTATTAATAAAATTCGAATTTGCCCCATCTCTACAACTAAATTAAATATGAAACTGAATGAAATATTTTAGGAAAAAAAATCAAGTAGTTTTTCACTTCATTTTCGATCATACCTCACATAAGACGATGCCAAAGGAGAAAATGTCCACTTTTTCATCGTATTTCATCATTTTCATCATTTCTGGAGCCATCCAATCTAAAAATAATATAAATTGTAATTAAAATGTTGAAATTCTGATGTGGTATTGAAATTTATTTTAATTTATTATTTTCTATTTTTTTTTTCTACAAAAGATTCATATCATTTATACCGTTTTGATATTTAAAACTTTATTAAATAACAGTGGCTATTTTTCTGAATAAAATATTTAGTCTAGGTTCAGGAATAAAATATTCAAATGAATACGATGCCAGAAATTAGATTTAAAAAAAAAACAAAGAAAAAAATCATTTTGAAAATTTGAAGAAAAAAAGAAGTTTCTATTATTACCATAACATTAATATAATTTTTCTAATTCATTTTTTATTTCCCATTTAAAAAAAGTTATTTTCGTCCAAAACTATGTATACTTCATTGTTTTTTGTGTAACTTACATGGATTTCCAACGACCGTATACCGTTGCCTCCTTTGTCTATATTTCCTATTGACAGTTCCATTTCCATCCACTGTCAATCGGTTGCTATTCTTGCAATTGCCTGACTTAATGATGCGCGCCAGTCCAAAATCGGCTACAATTACCGTTTTATCTTCACGAACCAGGCAATTTAATGAGTTCAAATCTCGATGGATAATATTTTTCGAGTGTAAGTAGTTCATTCCGCAAGCGATATCTTTGGCAAATCGAATACGACAATCCCACGGCAACACTAGGTCATTGTTATGGATAAGCTCCTTCAATGAGCCGCCCGGAACGTATTCCTATAGTTCACCAATCAAGAAGGAAATGATTAGCATGATTTTTAAGCGATACCCATTTTTAATAAAAGCGATGTAAACAAGAACAAAACTCGATTTTGACTCAAAATTACCGTAACTAAATGCAACTTCTTGTCACGATACAACACTCCGATGAATCGAAGTACATTGCTATGAGATAGCGATCGAAGCACCGCTACTTCCTTTAGGAAATTTCGTTGAGCTTCTTCATCAACTCGATATAATTCTTTTAGCACCATTATTTCCTTTGTAATTTTGTGAGTCACTTTGAATACCTGACCAAAGAAACCTTTGCCAAGAAGCTCGCCTGAAAATTTGAGCAAAAAAGAAATATTTTTTTAAAATCTTGATTAAAATGTCAAAATTTGCTTCTTACCAATCACAAGATCACTAGCCCGAAAAATACGCTGTGTCGGCTCTTGTGTGTCCACGCGAAACGATTTCGTGCGCGAAAGATCGTAGAATTCCACCGTTGGCGGGTGATTTTCATCGAGAAGCTTTGACATACTTGAGCATCGTTCCTTTTGATTCCGTAGATTATTCGTCCCGATGACACAATTCAAGTTGAACGCTTTAGTTTTGCATAACTGCTGAGTTTTGGTACCGCAAACGTATGAATTGGAAGGTGACTGTGGACTGCTTGGGATGGCATCGTTCTGTGAATTTTGCTTCATGTAAATTCGTTCGGTTTTACCGGTTGATGGCTCCCGAACTGACGGCGAACGACTACAGCATACATTGTAACATTTTGGAATGGTTTCAACATCGAGAGCGATCGGTTGAGTTGTTACAATGGTTGCTTCAGACATTGACTTCGTTAATCGATGTGGGTCATGCTCAATGGTCAGTTGCAGCACATCGTTGCTGCTTTTGATTAGATCGTCAATATTTTCGATAGACTTTCCCGTCACCGGTGTGCCATTCACTTCGAGCACTTTATCGCCCACACGCAGAGAGTCACTTCTCACATCAACCCTAGGAATGGAAAAAGGAAATTAGTAATTTTGAATTGGTGTTGAGATTTTCATTATTAAATTTTATCACACACAACATAATCACAAATTACTTGAAAATCTTTGTGAAAATAAAAATGTTATGATTGCATAAGTTTAAACGATATACTCAATAAATAATTTGTTATGGTATTTAGTAGCCAATTTTTTCGTTTTGTTTGCTCAGATGAGAGATTATATAATATATAATTCACCAATGATGATTAACACTATGATTGTTCTTGGGGCACCCAGGGCCCCCAGCGAACTTTAAAGTTGAATAAAAGTACTAAACAGTGTATAAACCAACCGGAGTTAAGTCTCATTGTATAGATTGAACATTTCTCTACACGAATGAAAAAAAAAACATATGCATATGTGTGAGTATGTGTAAAATACAGCCTGCCGCAAAACTTGTTACGCTGTTGTTCTTGGGGGACCACAGGGCCCCATGGCTATTTTATATTATAACTGGACTATGATAAGAGATAACGACTTGATGTCTGCGGTGAAGTTGTAGTACTCAAGCTGTTCTACAACTTTGCCGAAGACACCAAGTCGTTATCTCTTATCAGTTTCATGGAATACGCGAGAAACCGCAGAAAATCGCGAAAAAACGCGTTTTTTTCCTTATCATTTTTCACGGAACTGATAAGAGATAACGAGATGGTGTCAAAGGCAAAGTTGTAGTTCTGGTCGAGGACTACAATTATTTTGATTCATTATTCCGTTATCTCTTATCAATTACGCGAGAAACCGCAAAAAAACGCGAAAAAACGCGTTTTTTTCCTTATCGTTTTTTCACGGAACTGATAAGAGTTAACGAAATAATGAATCGGAACAATCGTAGTACTCAACCAGAAATACAACTTTGCCTTAGACGCCATCTCGTTATCTCTTATCAGTTCCGTGAAAAATGATAAGGAAAAAAACGCGTTTTTTCGCGATTTTCTGCGGTTTCTCGCGTATTCCATGAAACTGATAAAAGATAACGACTTGGTAACTTCGGCAAAGTTGTAGAACAGCTTGAGTACTACAACTTCACCACAGGCATCAAGTCGTTATCTCTTATCAGTTACGCGAAGAAACGCGAAAAATTCGAGTTTTTGATAATCATTTTTCGCGAAACTGATAAGAGATAACGATTTCATGTCTATGGTGAACTTGTAGTACTCAAGCTGCTCTACATTTCTGTCGAAGAGGCAAGTCTCTTACTTCTTATCATCTTCACTAAAACGATGTGGGAAAATTTTGCGATTTTCGCGTTTTTTCGCGTTTTTCGCGGAACTGATAAGAGATAAGCAATATTTGTTACACCAAAATTATAGCAAACTTTGAGTATTACAACTTTGCTGCAGACACTAATTTGTTATCTCTTATCACAGTCCAGATTTCATATGAAGTATCTTGGGGGCCCTGGAGTCCCCCAAGAACAGTAATATGTTGCAAATATGAAGAACAGTCATAGTGTTAAGCCAATGGAAATGATTAGTATGAATTTTAAGCGATACACATTTTTTAATAAAAGCGATATAAACAAGAACAAAACTCGATTCGTGCGCAAAATGGTGAAAATTACCTATTGGCATCATTCGAACTGCCTTCATCATTTGAACAGCATGCATTCAATGCTGATGTGACAAAGGCAAACACATATTTACCAAGTCGACCGTACATCCGACAAACGCGACTTTAGTTGCACGATGAATATTATGTTTTTTTCGATGGCGAATTGTTAGTAAACAAACAATTGGAAACGGGTTAGTTCATATGATAATGGGAATCTATGACTAAAATGGTCTTTTGTTATTTGATATCAATTAGTTCTCAATTGATTTTCAATTAGTTGTATTTTCTCTCATTGAGAGACTCTCAATGATTTTGTATAGAAAAAGAGTAATTTTTTAGTTGGATCCATTTATCCCAATCAACTCCTAAACCGAATTCGATGAAACAAACATTTTATTGGGACATATTTTTTTTCACAATATCTCAATCTATTTTTAATCAGTATACTGATTTGAATATTGATTTAAAATAAACAAACTAGCAATGGACACATTTCTCACGCAGTCTATTCATTCAAACGTGAAATTGTTAATGAACAAGTACCAAATAGATTTAAATAAATATTATTTCTCATCATTCAAGGTCAATGCAAATAGGTTCTCATTCAATTCAAACTTACTGTGAAATACGAATTCCATTATGTTTGGTGGCAATCATCGGTGTGATGCCATTTTGACTGTCGTCGATTGACAGCCGAAGGGCGGCTTTGTTTTCGTTCGACCACGGAATTTCTACTAAACGTATGGAGTGCGGAAGCGTCTTTTGAGGCTGGTGCGATGATGAGGACGGTGCTAAAATATCCGACAACGATGTCGGTGATTCAATTGACTTGACTGAAGTCTTATCGATTTTGGTTCGGTAGCAATTTCCACTAAAAAAATTGAACGCAATTCATTAGATTTCAAAAAAAAAATTACGAAGCGAAAAAATCACGAAAAAATTTACAATTTCTATTACATAAAAATATAACTGTTTGGCTCGTTTGAAATATATTTTTGGTGAGACTTTTCATGTTTTTTCAATATTGAAAAATTTAAAATTCAGAAAATGGAAAATTTAGAATTTTTCTGACATTCTGGGAATATTTTAGAGATGAAGATTTTTGAAAATTTATAAAAATATTTTACAATTCTGTAAATTTGTGCAAATAAAAATATCAATTCATTCAAAGAAAAAAAGGAAGATAAAAATTGTTTAAAAAATATAAAAAAATTGGAAATCCAATGTTGAATTTTTTTAAATTCAATTAAATCAAATCAGATCAAAATTCAGCCAAACAGTCTATTTTTCAGGGGAATAAAATTCTTCTACAAAATTTTCAAAGCATACCAAAATAGTTTCGACCGTTCAACCAGTGCATATGAGTCACCATCTCCGATATACTGCTGGCACGAAACGCAGCAAAAGCATTCTGGATGGAATTTATGTTCGCCAACAATCATGGCCGGTCCACTAATCGAGGCAGAGCATTGTTGACATGCTTCGCCAAATCGCTGCAAATAATCATCTCGGCAAAAAAGCAATCCATCCTTCTCAAAGTACCAATTAGCCAATTGTTCATCACAAACGGAGCATCGGAAGCAGTCTGTGTGCCAATTTTGTCCCAACGCCGAAATGATCCGATCATCAAGATCGTTCAAGCAACTAGCGCACTGTGTCAACGAGCTGAGGCTATTTCGTAATAATTTGGGTGAAGTTTTTTTCGCTTCTCGTTCTGAAACAGAAGTGGGAGAGATAAAGAATATTGTAAAATTTGTCATGTGACATGAATGAAGAACGCGAGTTGTATATTTGCGCAGAGAGAACGTGACTTTTAATTAAATTATCAGTAGTGATTGGCTGTTAGTAACCAAAAAGTTGACACTGGCAATGCCATTGATCCGTAAAAAAATAATAGTGGCTTGTAACGCACATTCAATGTCGTTTCTCTTAGCACAATTGCGGATTTTTCGCTTTTTGGCAGTAAATCGATTTGTTTATTTCTCGTTTGCACGCACAATATTGACTTGAAATTGGTTTTGAATAAGTTGGCAAAACAAAGCAATACACACAAAATACCAATTAGACGCGTCCAGCGATTTATGGCAGTAAACATAGTATTAGTCCGCACGAGACCGAATCGAATCAGCCCATCATTGAGGCGAAAAAGAGACACGCAACGAATGAAAGCAAAATCGACGGGAGAGAAGAAAAAAAAATTAAACCTATAAGCACTCAATTGGCTGCAGTACAATTAAATCAGCACTCAATTTCGATGCGACACCATCGAAAAAACGCCAACTTAACCACTACACACTCAACATCTCTGTCGCTCTATCCCACTCTAATGATAGCCACTCGATATTGTTTGTCGTCGATGTCATCGTCATCGTCATCGTCGTCGTCTTAGTTTGTACACATGACGACAAAATGCAGAGAAAACCAACAACATCGACAAAAACACACACCAATCAATGTGAATTTCATTAAATATTAATGCAAATCAATCAATTTCTCTTTGGGCAAATGCCATTTTCACCTAAAACTTACGTGATTTCTGATTGATTTGATCCATTTTCAATTGCACATCCACCAAAAAGACGGCGAAATGTTCATGTTTTTTTCTTTTGCTGGCGTCTTTGACTACAAACTCAATTTTATAAACAACAAATTAGCGCTAGCACAATAAGCAAAAACCAAAAAATTCGGTCGACTCACTGTCGCCACCGTGACAACAGCCGATTTTTAGATTAATGACAGTCTTTCTTTTACACAATTCCCACAAATTTTTCCACTGAGATGCATTTTCTTTTTTCTTCGTTTGAGACTGCTATTTTATTTTCTCTTTCTTCTACCATCACTCTTCCACTGCACTTTTTCGATGAATTTGATTAAAACACTATTTTGAAATTCCGACACTTTTCGACATGATTTCTATATGGTAATTTATTTATTATTTTTTCGCTTCGAAGACGCAAGACAATGTAAATGCGACTTTTGTGAACGAAATGGTCAGATTGTGATGCAGCATTGATGTTAGGTCAGTACGTGCTTCAATATGAAACAATTTTTTGTATGGGTACTTGATTGTCTGTGTGTTTGTGTGTATCGTTTTCGCTGTTGTGTGTGATTAATGCATAAATATTTACGACACGAATGGTTTTGATGTTATGCCATTCGATACATCGATGAGTAAGCCTCTTGAATGTATGAAGTGATGGTGTGCATGTATTTGTGAGTTGTTTGACAATACAAACGAAGCGACTTCAATTCGCCACACATGTAACACGCGTTTGTATGCGTTTTTTGTTGTTGATACTTTGTTTTGGTTTGCTTGTCACCGCAAAACACACAAATCTACAAAACATTCAACCTAAAACAAAGTAAACATTCAACTCAGCACAAGTAGACTCAATTGTTTATCCAGATGCAATAAATTCCAATGACTAGACTCATCATACATCAATCATTTCGCTATTTTTATGTGAAACTGACGTCAAAATCTTATTCCAGCGGCTGAGCGGGGCTTTGCAAGAGGTTTTTTTTTTTAATGAAGCATCGTTTTATGTGGATTCATTGAGATTTGTCAATGAGAAGTATTCGAAGAAGTTTGAAAACATAAGTGAAGTGTTTGGAAAAACTTTGAAATTTTGGCAAAAAAGTTGAACTTTTGAAGGAAAAATAGAAAATCCATAAGAAAAGAATGAAAAATTGAGGCAATGTTGCCAACAAAATTGAGAAATTTATGAAAAAAATTAAAGAATTTGACTAGAAAAGTCGAATAATTCTTGAAGATATAGACTGAAATCTGCCAAAATACACAAAATATTCGAAATTTGAAAGAATATCTACCTTTGCCAACTCAATTCCTCGACAAATGACCCATCAATCCAACTCTTTTTGTACAATTTAGATTATTTTTCGGAACTTTTCCGGACTTCAATGCATAAAATCTCATCTCATGCAGTTAAATCTAGCGACACCGTTGCGCAAACGATGAATATTACAATGTTTACGATGCATAGAACATGTCAACAGCAAAAGTTTGCCTCAGTCTTCAAAACCTTTCTCTGAAACCCCGTATTAAAACCTCATTTCAAAACGTTTCATCACTCCACTTGCACGCTCTGAACGTAAAACCTCTTTCTTCAAAAGTCAACGTTTGACAGGTTTTCAATCATATATCTCAAGCCTTTCAACCATCGGCTGCGTTACGGTGCGTCGAATTCGCTGCAATGGCTTTACGACTACAATCGCAATTTGCCATCTGTCACTTGCGTTGATTGTAAAGCGAAGAAGAAGAAGAGTAAGGGAAAAAAAGTACGTCGACCATTAGAAAATTGTGCGATTGTCATTGTTGTATAAACATTTCTCTTGTTCTGTGGTGTGTGCGTTTTTTATTAGGTCTCCGCTAAAGAAATTTTGTTTGTTTTCCTTTTAATTTGCATTCATTTTGCGTTACACTGTTCGAATAACTCGTAAATAAACTTATTTTTGGTGAAAATTTGTGGATTTATTCGCGTTTTCATTCACATTCAGTTTTTGTCCGTAGCGGAGAAGCACACTGACCACACGTAGTTGACATTTTAGTTGATTTGAGTTTTTTTTTATTGCAAACTAATTAGCCGAGATCTAGTGGACTTTGAACCGTTTACTCAGTTGACCATTTTTTTTCAAGATGAACAAAGGACGTTTTTATGATGAGATGGATATTCAAGCGGTCGAATCGAAATTGAACGATGTCACAGTGACAGCAATTCCAATGTCAAGTGTAGCTAATAAACAACAGTATGGTCATCATCATCCAAATTCGAATTCAACATCGTCGTCACATTATCAGTCGTCAAAATCGCAGAAAAATCAAAACAATCAATACCTAACTTATCAACAAAATCAACTCATTCAATCGGCTATCCAACTAGTACAACAACAACAATTGCAGCAACAGCAACAACAACAGCAACAGCAGCAGCAACAACAACAACAACGCCAAAGACAACAACACCAAGAACGGGAGCGTGAGCGCGAACGAGAACGAGAACGTGAACTGATGTTGGAAAATGGCAATTTCAATCGATTGAGTAATTAGAGTTTTTATTTCCTTCCATTTGGATGAGTTTTCTTTTGGAAAGAGAAAAATTGTATAAAAATATTAATAATCGCTATTTTTACAGTTTCAGCTACTCCGCCAGCATCTCAATTGTACAGTGGCTATGGCCAAAGCAGTAACGGCCTGGGATTGACTCAAACAACATCGACGTCACAAGGTTCGGGTTTGTCGAAGTATGCGCAGTTGTTGGCTGTGATCGAGGAGATGGGCAGAGACATCCGACCAACATATGCAATGGGTCGAGGTGATCGATTGAAACGATTGATTATTCAAGCAAAGGTAATTTTTAATTCCTTCTATTTGATGTCTTTTCCCATAAAAAAAAGGTTGTTTGAACATTTGTCATTTCTTGTGAATGTGGAATCCACATTGTGGAAGTTTCCACGTTGATGTGAAAATGACAACAACAAAAAATTCGCTTGTTCGCACAACGACATTTTATCATTCATTTATATTTGCATTAAAACCAATTCAAATATATTCACAACTCCCCAATTATTCTTTCAAGGTTTTGGTTCGCGAATGTTTGATGGAAACGGAGAGATCAGCGCGACAATAAAAAAAAACATGTGTGTATACGGAAAACAAGACTATCGCTAAACGAATCGGCGTGTAAGAGTGGTTTAGATTCGGAGTTGAGCTGTTTTTTTTAGCACCATTGAGTACTTATAGGTCATACATAGTTACAATTTACAGACACAAAATGATTTAACGGAATGAAATTGCAAACGTGCCGATATAGCAAAGGCTTTCCATTTCAGAATCAGATCGTTCACAATCACGTATATTTTTGGATGAAAAACGAGACAAAAAAAACATGTTTTTACCGTTTCACAATCAACGTGCACTTTTTTTTTATAAAGAATTATTACACCGTCCTAGTACATAGGATTGATAGAACATTCAAAGAGCAGACAACGATGACATTTTTGGTCGTCACCAATATAGTTCAATATTAGTTCGTCATTTTTTTTTTGTAATATTTGTTACCAAATCAATTGTATTTTGTGCACGTTTCCAGTTTGGTGATTCATTGCATCAGACTGATGCTATCAGTTTGCAACTCATTTTGTTCTTCGACTCACGGAACAGCATCGCCGCGATACGTATGTGACTCTGAGAGTAAAAATTCATTTTGTCTTTTATACATCGATGTACAGCGATTTTTATCTTTTTATAAGTGCTCATGATGCGTGTCACTGGGGTAAATAGCATAGGTGACTTGAGTGAAATTCGATATTTCGACAAGAACTCCAACATTATCCAATAGAATATCTCCCTATCTTTCACAAATAACACGCAAATTACAAATTGATAAAAAGACAAAAATCGATCGATAACGGTTTTGCTACCAGGGTCACATAATTAGTTAAATCTCTTTATTTTTGAATATTGTACACAAAAAAGAAGCAAAACGAATGAATGCAAACAACACAAAACGGAACAATTGTATAGAAGTAATTGTTTTACATATTTTTTGTAATTTGTAACTGAATAAAAGAAATAGACTCTATTTAGCCGGGAGTAACTGGAAATCACAAGTGGTTTTATTGGATCAATTTTATTTATTTATATTCAAGTTGATTTTTAAGCTGAAAATTGTAAGTCGGAATTGGGACAAATCTGGATTGTGAAATACAAAGACAAAAAAATACAAGTAAGGTATACTTTTACCTGATCCTTGTTCAAAGTTCATATTTAAGAAGTTAAAAAAAATCACTTATAAGCTATTTACCAACGAAGAATCTACCAATGTTTACCTTTTTCATGAGTTTTCAGTAGGTTTTCTGTTGTTTTTTCTTCATTCACTGACATTTTTTTTAAAACAGTTTTAGAGAAAAAATGGATAAAAAAGAAAGGACGTGTATAAAATTTCATTTATTCGATAAATATTATGTTATACTATTCTTGTTTATTTCCATTATTTCTATAGTTTTACACTAATATTTCCTAATTTTAACTCCTAATTTCATCGACTTAAAGAAGAAAAAAAACAAGTTTTATTATTTAGAACAATAATTTCAATAAATTTTTCGAAATTACTTGAGTGGTTTCTATACGGAAGTAAGCGTGGCAATAAATTATGTTTGCTAAATGCATTTTGCTTGAATTATTCTCTTCGCATTCTATTTACACCTAATACAGAATTGATTCGAGTAATGCTGCAAAATTCAGAGAGTCAACTGCAGAGATTATCATTCTGTATGCAAAATCGTTTCATTATCTCGGTTGTAAAGTGAAAAAAAATCATGTGTAAATCTGCCACATACATCCACTATAAGTGTTTCCTGTATTAATCTCCAGTCGCTTTACATACTACACTGTACGTGTCACATGGGTGTGAAAAACAATGAAAATCAATTTCCAACGCTTCATTATTCTCCCATCACTGCACTTCAACATCAGACTGCCGCTGATAATTTTTTGTAGTTTAATCAAAATCCTTTACGTCTTGAACAATATGGCATATGTGACAAAAGCCTGTTTGACATAGTAATTATTTTCGTTTTCAAAGTTCTTCAATTCACGGAATGTCATCTACTCAAAAACAAAAGATATGTTGGCAACATGTCTCAATATAATATTTCCACCATTGTCGCTTCGCTATAAGCTTGGAAAGTAATAACATTTTTAATTAAAAAAAAATTGCAAATGGTCCTTTTCGACCAACTAGCTAAAAAAAAATTATTCAAGATTGATTGGATGGAAATCAGATTTTTATGCATTTTTCTTCTGATAACTTCATTTCCTAATTTGTAGCTGCCATTCCGGAAAAATCATGAGTGGTATTGTTACTCTCCGTTTTTTTATTCGTTATACCGATGCTTGAACCAGACCACGATATCCTTTCAATGTCTCGGTTTTTTGTTTGCATCGGGTTAACGGTTAACCCATTCTATTTTTATCGCCGCATCATCTCAATGCTGGAGACGTATCAATCGTCTTCGGTATATTGTGTGCATGCACTGTATATCTGTATAGTTCATAGTGTGAACTGATTACGTTGTGAAGCCATTGACATGGAAAAAACAACTGAGAAGAAAAAAATATGGAAGATTACAGGAATTAAAAGTAACTTCTTAAAGATTACAAAATGGAATCTCAATTAATCAATCAAATTTTATGTTTTCAAAATAGAAAAAAATGTGTATCTCGTTTTTTGTCGATTCATTATTTTATTCTAATCAATGGAAATAAAGATAATGTCCCAGCCCTTTCAACTTTTATATACAAAAAAGCGTTGAAATAGCATTTTGTTTCATTTGAGAATGTTGTTCCGACGTCAAATGCGATAAGTTTGGCGTTTTTGAAAACACTAGTTGAAAATTGGGCAATTGAAAGTCTACGTCTAGTCCAACGAAATTTCTATTCTGTTCTCCATTATAGAAAACAGTTCAAGATTTTTTTTTGACAAAATAAAAGTAATGTCGGAAATTTCGCCCAATAATTCTTATGATAAGCTGAACAAGATATAAAATATATTGAATTCTTGTTGTCTTTTGAGTAAAAAAGTAAGGTAAGAAACCTACAACTGATTTGAAAGGAAGGTTGCTGGTTATGGCGGTAAAATCACACTGACTGTATCGTAATATATCTATTTTAACACGTTCAATTGTACTTTTATTTATTGTTAAGTAATTTCTCTCAACTTCTCTCTATTTGTCAATGTATTTGATCAAAATGTTCACAAGAAATAAAACTAACCATTCCAATCTATTGCTATTAAATGATTTAGTTGAGATTTTCCATTGATTCAATATTAGCGCCGTCTATCAAAATTAAACTCTACGGATTGCTTTGATGAGGTCTGACTTGGACCAAATAATCTCGCTTTTGCTTTTGAACGTGCACTTAAGACTGAGTCCATTTTCTGATATCCAAAATGAATAAATTTGTTGTTTATCTTTGGCTTCCTGAGCGTCTTGCCAAAGCAATCGAAAGAAATCGGTCAAATCATTTTGAACTTCAATTGCTGCCAAATCAATTTTTGGCTCAATCAATTTGAGTGGTTTTAACTTCACCAATTTATCAACGGTGCTCATTTGATCCCATTGCTTGAGAATATTCTTCTTTAATTCCCATTTCTTAAACCGAACGATGATATCTTTGCCGGCACGTTGAAAAATGCTATCGATGCCATCCGATGATGATCCGGTGTCCATTTCCATGGCAATGCAAATATTTGCGAAAATTTTTCGTAAAACTTCATCGCTTGAAATCGTTGTGATACCCCGAATGCATAAATTATTGCGATATGTTCGCTGTCTATTTAGTTCATTCCGATAAGCGAATGGTATCCTGGTTGACGGAAGCGTTACATCAATTTTGGTTGTTGGTTTTGAACTTTCGGTGTACTTTTGTTTGACCAGCCGTTCTCTGATTGGCCAAAATTCACTGCGGTCATCGAATTTGGTGTGCAATACATTGTGTTTGAACAAAACGAGGCCATTGTTAAAAATGATCCGAGTTCGCAAATGATACCGTTCCAATCGACCTAAAAGGCCATTTGCATGTTTTGCGGCGGGATTTTTTAAATTATGAACAGTCTCTTCATGGTGGGCTATTTCTTGTATGCTTTTGCCCACATCTGTACATATTGTACACTTGTATTGGAAGGCGTCTTGTTCAATATGCTGCAGAAATGAAATTTCATTGGTCTTTTTCGTGACATTACAATGGCCACACATGAATCCAACGGGAGCAGGCAACTTTCGGCCAGGATTTATTGACATGAGCTGCTCAATTTCATGTTGAGTAAAACATACGGGACTGTTAATGCCCATGAGGAGACAGGGATCATGCTGCGATTTAAAATGAACAACCATCTCCGATGCCGAGAAATCCTTCTGGCACAATCCACATTTTGATCGATCTCGTCTGTCGACTACAACGAATACTTCCTTATTATGTTGGTGCTTGTGATGACCCTGAAGATTTGGGAACACATCTACTTTGCCGCAATAGAAACATGCGGCCATTCCAACGGCAAAAAACCGAAAGGGCGACGCACCATGACTCTGTTGCCAATGGTTGAACACTTCAGAAAATGTGTCGACAAAGTAGCTCGGCTGACTGTGGCAATAAAAACAGGCAAAAACAACACTTTTCTCCTCGAACACAGGCAAACACATTGGACTGGGCTCTGAAAAAAAGAGCGGAAGAAAACAATTAGAGTTTTTTTTGGTGTGTTATCAGAAAAAGAAAAAAAAGAAAAACTAGGAAAAACAACAGAGACCAAACATTGTAAAATTAAAAAAGTCATGAAAAAAACTAAAACAAACAAAAAACCTACCTCTCAATTGTATTTCTTCAGTTGTTTTGGGTCGTTTATTCATTTCGCTTTGAACATCCATTGATTGTTGTCGTTTAAGAGGTTGTGACTCGGATATTTGTGAAACGGAACGTTCGAAACTGCATCGACTTGGTAATCCATTACGTTTGTTCATTTCCATTGGGTCTATTGGCACATCTTCCATTTTAACAACACACTCGTCATGATCGTATATTTTCGTAAATTCCATTTCAATTGGTTCTCTTTTGATGTGATCTATATTGAAATCCGGCGATAAATTTGGCGTTGAATCAGGTGTGACTGGGGACAGCATCGGTTGATTTGATGTGCTCGGCGAACATGTTGAACGGTGATCGGAAACAATTGAATCCAACGATGGACGATAGTTGATTCGTTCGTATGTCATGGGCTGAGTTGCATCAAATTGAGTTTCACTCGAATTTGAATTACTCGTAGAGACCAATTCAACCGTTTCCAATTTTATTTTATTTTCTAGTATTTCAAATCCATCGCTTGAATCCGAATCCATGTGATTTTTGTCGATTTTGTCATCATCGTTGCAATTGGGTGCATTTTTAGCAGTATTTCCACGCACTTGCGAAGTGTTTTGAATATCAAAAAAATCCAACGTTTGCTCCAAGCTATAAGAGGACAGTAATAAAAGAAGAATGTTCTATTTATGATTCATTTCAACTAACAATGATGCATAGTAAAATTTGACTCATTCTTTTTTTTTTGTCTTGTACTCTAATAATGAATCGCTCGTAGTAGTGGAGCGCGAGTAATGCTCACAAGTCGCAAAATTCACATAGCACAGCGATCTATTTGATTTTATTAAAGCGTAGCGAATGATGTAAACTTAAATTGAACTAAATTGAGCAGATGTTTTTTTTTCTCGCGGCAAAAGTCAAAACCATAAACATCATTGACAAACTTAATCAAATAAATTTATTTTTAACATTACAGATTCATTCAATTTTTACATCGAGCAAATGTGCTCTCTTGAATATTCGGCAATTGCGTTGTGAGCATCATGAATATACACTGTCTAAATCACAGCTGGAAGAAGCAGTCTGTGTGTATGCATATAGCTAACAGCACAGTAGATATGCGGCCCACACACTATTTTCGTTTGTATGTACATTTACACAGATTTCAGTCGAGCTGCCAAAATTTGACAACAATTTTTTCGTTCACAACCTTTATGTTGCTTTGATTGATGTAAAACAATTTAAAATGCGCAATTTTTGTTTGATTTTTACGTGAATCTTGAATTTTGGAACGAATAAGGAGTACTTTTACGCTAATAACAGTGTGCGGAAGGGATAATAAAATTCGTGAGCAAATAAAATGCGAAAGAAAGTGATAGAACTTACCGACTTTTGACGCTTTTCATGAAATAATCTTTAATTCGATGGTCAATATTTTGTCCAGATCGCGACAACACCGCATTGATCTCCTCTAAAGCGGTTGTGGTTTGGGCCTCAAAAACGTTGAGGTAGTTATTTAGCACGGGCCTCCAATTCGACGACATCTTTTCCCAATAATTTCTCTTGTTAAACAGTAAATATTCGCGGTGCTATTCCATCACATACGGCTTTACACGTGTTAGAGTGACTCTACGATTTGTTGTACACGTTTTTTCCTATTCTCTTCCTAGATTTTTTCTTTCGTTTCTTCTAGTATTCTTTTTTTTGCTTTCTTTTGTCCGCAACACCACACGTAATACAATGAACTATCAAAGTCCACTCATTTGCACGGCTAATTTATACGGTCCGATTGAATATGCAGGTGGCAACTGTGCTGACATTGTAAAAACAAGCGTATTAATTAACATAAAACACTACATTCAAACAAAAGCTGTAATTCCATTATAATTTGTTGCATCAACAATTTTTGCCCCAAATATGCAGATTTGTGTTATTTATGTGATTTTTACAACAATGTATTGTTGTCACGATTTACATATTTGTTTGATGTATAAGTTGTCCCGTGTGCAAATAAATTGACTGACATTCATTCAGTTACATGCAGCTGCAAATAACTAAAACTGGCTAAGTTGATTGAATTCAAGAATGTTGTATAGAAACAATCACTTTTAGTTATTCTTTCAGCCAGCCGTCTAATTTCGGACTTATTGGCTACTAGATGACTATAACTGAAGTTGACTACAGTCGAATATTTTTTTCGAGAAAATCACTTTTAATTACTGATAGTCAGCCAAAAAGTCCGAAATGAGACGGCTGGCTAGTCAGTCACAAATTTTTCACACGGGGTTGTTGTGTTCTGCACCAATAGCATTTCTTTGCCCAAGGTGGTTTAAGTGAGCGCTAAAGTGAAATATATTTCAACTGTGTAGGAAAAAAAAAAACAAAGAGGAATTATTTAAAGTGAAACATCTGCAAAAATGGTTGCAGTGCAACAGTTACACTTTGTAGAACCTAGATCGAATGATAACCATTCATTTAACCTATTTTCTGCCAAGTTACCAATCAAGCAGACGTGTGCAAGGGGGGGGGGGGTATTCCGGTTTTACCCCCCCTCTAGGATTCCAAAATGTGGACCCCCCCCAGCGATGTGGAAAAATTTACAGTAGATATAATCGATTTTCAAAAGTGAGGACCTTTTTTTTTTTTTTTTAGGTCTTCACTTGTTTTTCGACACCCATTGGCAAAATTTTAGACCCCCATTGTGGAATTGTTACTGTTTTACACTAGATAGAATCGATTTTCAAAAGTGAGGACCTTTTTTTTTTTTTTAGTCCTCACTTTTTTCGGAGACTGGTTTTACACTAGATAGAATCGATTTCCAAACCCCCCCCTGGCAAAATCATTTTACCCCCCCCTAGAATTTTTGACCTTGCACACGTCTGCAATCAAGTGTTCGAAACTTTTTTTAAATGAAAAATCAAACACTCGGTAGAAAATGCATAAAAATTAAAAGATTCTCGAAGGGCGTTTGATGTGAGATGTGAAAAGATATCAACGTTTTGTTCTGTGATTTGATTTTTCAGCAACTATGTTTATTAAGTGATAAGGATTGATGATCACAAATGTTGTGATAAGAATAATAAACAGTCTCTGACCTATCTATCGATCAGGCACACAAATATAATGACTGTAGAATTGCTGCTATGCGCTGCTATGCATTGCTATGCAAATCTTTATTTACTTTGATAGACGCCAATTGCGTAGTTATAATGTATTCGCGATGCAAAGTAATCATTGGTGTGTAAATCTTTCGACTGACTTGACAAATTTGAAACATATCGACTGAGTAGCGGCTGATTAAAAGTGATTGTCTCGAACAAAATGAACAACTTTAGTTCGTTTGAGTCATCAATGTTGAATAAAATGTACCAAAATAGTCAACTGACCGAAAGGATGACTAAACGTGATTATCTACATAAATGAAGATCATCATTATTATTATATTGTATGCGAAATAGTTGATTTCAATCAACTACATACAGCTATAACTGAGTGATTTTCATTGTATTTCCACACGGTTATGATTGATGTTATTTATGCACCTCATACACATTGCCAAAATATGTTTCACTTTTGCACTCACTCATTTATATCTTCAAAATATTCAACAATTTAACTCAATTACAAGGTTTGCAATATTGTTTTATACCCAAACTTTAAATATTATCTCTTTTGTCGAAAGCAAAACTTCACTGCATTTTCAAAACCATTTGATTATATGAATTTCTTGGTCGTCTCGAAAATATTTATAGTATTTTTATAAACTGAAGAGACACACTTGTGTATAGTAATATTATAAATTTGCTCTCTTGGTAAAAAAAAAATTTATCCCATAAATATTTATGAATATTTCCATATAAAAACGCGCCAAATATAGCTAAAAATTTCAACTTCATTCACACTCCACACTTATGGGTCTTGCCGACTGCACGTCCAACCGAATACTGACTCGCGCTACAACGACGTGACACCATGTGTGCAAATGGAATCAGTAAGCCAACGCAATACGAATACAAGAGCATAAACGCTATTTTCTGGCGTCGAACGTACATATACGAAAGCATGGGTCTCATGTATTCTGTTTTGAATTCTCTTGTAAATTTTTATGACTTTGTTTTTTACTTTTCCGTACACAGCGTGTCAAGGGAAAGTATAGGAATTGGTCCCGAATTTTTTTTTCGCAAAATTAGCTTAGATCATCATAAAAACTCATGAAACGCGTAGAAAACCACTTTTTTAGACACTTTTCCGTTCGTGTGCCGTCGTCGTCGTCGTCGTCGTCGTCGTCGTCGTCGTCGTCGTCGTCGTAGCTGTTTGTTAACACGATAACTCAAAAAATAATTGAGATAATCAAAGTCTGGAAATGCCAAAAGTTTTGTGTTCGAAAAACTTAGTTTAAGTTCGAAGATGAGCCATTTTCGATTTGACCCTGGGGTACTTGCCTAAGAAAAACCTCAAAAAATTGACACTTTTGTATGGGAGGAACCTGTAAACAGGGATCGAAAACGGTTTGACGTTTCTCATACAAACCGATTTCGGAACGGTTTCACTGCTTTGCTCTCTGTTCATCGGAGCGAACCGTATCAAGCGGAACGTTCTGAGAATGGTTTGTATGGGCAACGTTCAAGCGGGTTGTCACTGTGTTAGTGTCGTTTACTAATACACGTAAGCATAAACGTTTCTGTGTGCCATACAAACCATTTTTCAGAACGTTCCGAATGGTTTGGTTTGTTCACACACTCAAACCAAATATTCGGTTTGGTTTGGTTTCGATCCCTGCCTGTAAATCGACTCCGATTGGCTTCAAACTTTCTGGGATTTCCTTTTTTGGGAGAAAAATAAGTTCTGAAAGTTTGAAACCAATCGGAATCGATTGACGGGTACCTCCCATACAAATTTTTTGAAATTTTGACTAAAATTCCCGATTTTTGGACAATTTTGTATGGGAGGTACCCATCCAAAAAATGAAACCTCAGAAAGTTTAAAGCCAATGAGAATCGGTTTACGGGTACCTCTCATACAGAATTGTCGAAGTTTTAGTTAAAGTGACCGATTTTTCACTTTATTTTTATTATTATATTTTCACTGCCTTTATTTCAAGAAAGTTCACAAAAAATAACCAAAAGTACCAACGGACAGGACAACGCAGGCCAACGGTACGGAAAAGTTCGGGATTACCAATGTAATTCTTTTTATTCTTGCTCGTTCATTTTCCCTCCAAATTCTGCTACCTCTGTAAACAGTGCTGTATTAAAGTGATCGTATGCAGTGTGTTGTTGAGAGACATGGGTCTCATGTATTTCGTATAACATATATTATATACTGTTGCTAGTTTTATTTCATTTTGTATATACTATCTCACTTGGGATGCCTACAACACATTTTTTGTACGCGATTCGTGCGTTTCTTATCGACACACTCATTAAGGTACCATTTGCTAGGCAGCTTATATGTGTTTCTTTTTTTCTTCTCCTCAGTTCATCACATCCGTTTCCTAATTTTATTACTCTCGCTTTCTTCATTCCCTATTTTCAAGGTTTTTTCTGCTTTCAAACGGAATTGCGCCGTCGTTTTGTTCTAATCGATGGCGAACTTTATATGATTGCACAAAAATGTGATCGAAAAATTTATTTTTATGACTGAAACTTTAAGCGATTATGACACGTTCGTACTTTGAAAATTATCTGTAAATACGTCTCAAAACTTGCGCTGTTTTATTGGAATTTGGTTCATAATGCGAGCTGCTTACATGTTGTTCAGTACAGCGTTCTTGTTTGATGCTGCTGGTTCGATTTTTTCGTCAAAATCAAATACAGCTTATTCTTACTTTAACTTCTGAATTGATTTCTCAAACTCCTTTGGACCTCCTTTTAATTCCTTTTGGTAATTAACCTTTAACTACAACCCTTTTTTCATTTATGAATATAAATTTTCTGTGTTAATATTATAGAATTATTAAATGGATGCCTGCTTATTCGTATTTTTATTCCTTTTCTCGTTGAGTTTATCTCTCACACTGAACTTAAAGTCGGCTCGCGGTTTTATATATACATAATTCTCATTATTGTGATATTGACCTAACCAAATCTGGACAGTCAAAAGGCTCACGGCTGTTTCTTATTTTTAATTTTATTTACGTCAACCTGATCTTGATCTATGAATATTCGCGTGACCAATATCATTTTGATATTATTCGAACTCAGAACAGTATTTCGAGTTAAAACTCTTTCCATTCTCCTCCTTCGAATAAAAATAGCCTCGTGATCACATTCTCCTTTTAGAAAAAACTAGCTTCACTCTCTTGCCGATGCGGTGATTTCCTCATCTTGGCAAGTTCCCTTTTGAGGTTTGCAAGCAAAAAAAACTTCACGAATAAGTTCCCCTGTAGAAAGGGGAACTTACCGTTAATAGTCTAGGCCGTGTTCGACTCCTCTTATGCTATGCTCAGATGATCCATACGAATGGTTTTGCTTACCTGAACAGTTCAATGGATGGAACTTTGGAATATTGACACTTCGGATCGTTTCCTAAAAAAATATTTGATTAGGCAATAGAACTGTTTGAATTTTAAACAGCTACTGCGTTGATTGTACTTGTTGTAATACACTTTGACAGTGATTTTGCTTTCAAACACTGTTGATTAAAACAAAAACTAAATCGTTATATTGTGCATGCTTTTTCATATGCTTTTGCTGTAATTAGGTAGTATCTGCTCGTTGCAGAGATATATGAAAGTATGATTTTAGATGAATCTCCTGATGGACATGCTAGCAAAAATGCAAAGACAATGGAAAATAAGAAAACAAATTTTTTTAAAATGAAATCTATTACTTGAAATATTCCAATTTCCATACAATATATTTATTGAGAAATTGAGAAAATTCAGTAATTTGAATCAAAACACAATAATGCAATATTTCTTGATTGTCCAATGCTGCTGCCAAATTTAGAAAACAGTTTTCCTAAAAAAGTGTTATCAACTCATTTTTTTACTTGATATCGGGAAAAAACTTTTCGGCTAAGTAAGTTAGATTGATGTAAAAAAAAATCTAGGACTTTTTTAAAACTAAAATCGTGTCAATTGAGATTCGATGAAAATTTTCCTAAAAACTAAAAACTTGTTATCAATTTCAAAACTCAATCGTATCTCGAAAAGGGCATAAAAAGTTCGAGATTATTAATAGACCTATGCCATGGCCCATAATGCAGTTGAACCATTTGAATGTAGTTTTTTTTTGTCTTTTTTATTTCCATTTTCATTTTTGTAATATTCAAGTTCTCACATTCAAAATATTAATTATCCCCTTAACTAGCGACAAAGTTGAGCTAATAAGTATTGCATGATGTTGACTTAATTTTTCCAAATGTCATCGAAAGTTTTGGGACGGTTCATGTTTGTTGGATGACAACATTTCATAAAGAATCCCATCGCCTTACTTGACATAAGTAATAAAGTAATTTATGATTAAATCCAAATTAAATTCTTTCCTTTACGTTTCTTATTTGAAAATTAACAATAAACAAAGGTTCTTCTTAGATGCAAGTCTTGGAATTAATACCTTCTTTCAATATACTTCGTAAGGTCTTCTTTTGACCAAATGAGGTGCGGTTCAATTTCTCTCTCACGTCTAACATAATATCCATTGTCCATTATAAAACATGAGTAGATTAGTTTGCTTTTTCTAGCTGCTTCGGCATGATTCTTAAGATCCACAAAAAATCGTGTCAATTGAGATTCGATGAAAATTTTCCCAAAATATTTCAATTTAATGTCTTTAGGAGTTTTACGCCATGCGGATATGAGCTTATTTTTTAGATCTCGTTCAAACATTTGTACAATAACCGCACCCGAACGTCGAAAAATATCTCTAACGTCCTTCATTGACACATACGACATGCCAATTTTTTTACAAATTCGAAGGAATATTTTTCGTATTTCATCATGTGTTGCATCATTCGCAATTCCGGCAATGCGCAGATTGCGGCAAAAGGATCGTTGTTCTGCTAACTCTTCTTCACGGACAATATATTGGGATAGCGTCGTGGATTTAGATTGATCAACATTTCTTGTGTATTCTTCCAGTTTCTGATTTTTCACACGTTTTATTCTGGGCCAAATCGCCTTAATCTCGAATGTGGTATTCAAAGTATTATGTTGGTATAAAATGAGCCCATTGGTGAATACAACTTTCGTTCTGAGATAACGCCTTTCCAATCGTTTCATTAGATCGTCTGAATGTTTCGATGGGTTCATAGGTAATTTATGGGCGGAAACATCGTGTTGTACTGCTTCTCGGATGGTTTTTCTCGAAAAATTCGAACATATTTTACACACAAATTGGAGTGTATCGGCATCTTGTTCAAAATGCTGCATAAACGAGATGGCACTCTTTTCTATTTTATTGCAATATCCGCAAATGAAGGCTTCAATTTGCGGTGATATATCGGTTTCTTTGGAAGAATTTAGGCTCAAGAGCTGTTCCATTTCGCTCTGTGTGAAACACACGGCGCTTCTCATGTCGTTATAAATTGATGGATCATGCTGTGATTTAAAATGTTCCACCATCTCCAATTTTGAAAATTGTTTATGACACAATCCACATTTTGACTCATTTTCTTTGTCAGTTAGGATGTTTGTCCTTGTTGTGATCTTTTAGCCTGGGAAAAATATCAGCTTCTTTGCAATGAAAACAAACGGCCTTTTTAAATGCCATGAATCGAAAGGGTAATGCATCATGGTTACATTTCCAATGTTTGTAAACATTGGCAAATGTTTCGGAGGAAAAATTTGTTTGATAATTTTCTGACCGGCTACTGGTTTGAAAATGAATGCGGAGAAGGAAATGAAAGACGGCTTTTCATTGGTTGGATTGCACTATTATCAAACAATGGTATTCATGTATTGCGAGAAAGAGGTGGATAATTGATTCGAGTGTGGAGTGATCACTGATCACTTGAAAATTATATTTTTGCATGAAGTGAGTTTGTCTCAGTTTCTGTGGGGCAAGAAGGTGGAAGAATATACTAGCGCTGAGTGTGTTTGCGCGCTTCTTGACTTTCGGAACTCGATACATGTTGGGATGGATCGAGATCTGCACTGCTGCATGGATTGTATATTTTTGCTATGTTTTTGCTATTCTATCATGGTAGCATATTCGTTCAAGAGGAAAAGACGAATTAATAGTTTGGACCATGATGAGTCATGTGTCCATTGAACCTTAAGTGTGCATTGGATTGGTTTATGTCTTACACGACCATATTATTAGATAATTGAACGTGTATTGTCGCGTGGGAAGGCGAAAAATCAGTTAAACACGTACTTAGTATTACAGATTTACCGGCATTAAAAATGTAGTAGGTAGTAGCATTACGTTAACAAAAACTTCCTGTAATGTTATTACAATTGTAATAGCTATTGCCTGTAATGCCAACAGGGCCGTAGCAACGATTTTTGCCAGGAAAGGGTGGTTCCACTTTACCAAGTGATAGCTTGCCTCAAAAAAACAACTATTTCGAAAAAAAATCTGGGGGGCTCTTGGAAGTTTACGGAGTTATGGGGCAAAAAGGCCAAAAATCACGAAAAATCAAAGTGGTCCGATTTCGATGAAAATTGGTACACGGGATAAGTGAGAAAATATAAGAACTTTGGACCAGTTTTAGTGCCAAAGTTCTCATATTTTCTCACTTATCCCGTGTACCAATTTTCATCGAAATCGGACCACTTTGATTTTTCGTGATTTTTCGTGATTTTTGGCCTTTTTGCCCCATAACTCCGTAAATACGCATACTATGCGACGATTGATTTGATGCGGTAGAAAATGGTTTCGAAGTCTGTGTCTTTCGAAATGTAGAAAATTGGTCGAACGCAGACTACGCGACTATTCGACGGTCGTAAACTGTTATTTATTGAGACAGTTCAGGCAGCGGTGAAGCATGCATGCTGCATGGGCTGAGTGGGAATTTGTTTCTGTTTTAAGAAAAAAAGAAAAACAAGTTGTCTTATAATAACAAAACAGTAGAAAATAAGTCAATGGTGGTTAATTCTTAAATTCGATACAAGGCATATGTATGTAAGGTCGAGTGATATTCATGCTGGAAAATATAAAAAATCGATTTAGATTTGGTTAGAGCTTCTTTAGAGTGTAAGAAATTTATTCTACACATTGTTTACTGGGAAATATTTTTCTTTATTTTTTATTCAATTCTCTGGTTAAAAATGTTGATTATTTTTGTTCAATTGCGGCTAACAACTGTTGTTACAGTGTTTATTTAAATCATAATAATAAAGTTATTATAACAGTTATTTCACACAAAACATGTTAGACAAATTCTGGCTAAAATTAGTTTTAAAAATCCGTAATCATGCACAATGTGTATTATTTTAAATCCCTTTAGAGTTAAAACCTTCCTTGAATATACTCCGCAAGGTCGTCTTTCGACCAGATGATGGCTGTCTTATAACGATTAGATGATAACCCTTTGACTCTAAGCCCATCATCAGTTATAAGAAACGAGTGAATTTGACATTTATCTCTGGCTGCTTTGGCATGAGTCCATAGTTTCACAAAAAACGGTGTCAATTCAGATTCGATGAAAATTGTACCGGGTTCTTGAATAACGGATTTCAAAAGTTTTGATTTAACATCTTTGGGAGTTTCACGCCAAGCGGATATGATTTTATTTTTTTGGTTCCGTTCAAACATTTGCACAACAACCGCACTTGAACGTCGAAAAATGGCGTCGACATCCTTCATTGAGACATTTGACATGCCAATTGTTCTACAAATACCTAGAAATAAATTCGGTAAATCGGCATCTGTAGCCATTCCGAGACCTTTGATGCGTAGATTGCTGCAATAGGATCGTTGTTTTGCTAACTCTTCTTCACGGAGCACATTTTGCGATACCAGAGATTTAGACCGATCAATATCTCTTGTGTATTCTTCCAGTTTCTGATTTTTCATCCGTGTTATTATTGGCCATATCTCTTTGCGATCATCAAATGTGGTATTCAACGTATTATGTTTGTGCAAAACGAGGCCATTGGTGAATATAATTTTCGTTCTGAAAAAACGCCTTTCCAATCGGCTCATCAGAATCTTTGAATATTTCGATGTGTCTATAGGGAATTTATGTTTGGAAACCTCGTGTTGTATCACTTCGTGGATGCTGTTCCCCCAAAATGAGCAAGCTGAGCACATGAATTGAAACGGATCTTGTTCAAAATGCTGCATAAACGAGATGGCACTCTTTTCTTTTTTATTGCAATATCCGCAAATGAAGGCCTCAATTTGCTGTGATATATCGGTTTCTTTGAATGAATTTAGGCTCAGAAACTGTTCGATTTCGCTCTGAGAGAAACAAATGGGGCTGTTGATGTCGGTATAACTCAATGGATCATGCTGTGATTTGAAATGTAGCACCATTTCTGAAGCCGAGAAAATGTTGTGGCAAAGTCCACACTTTGTGTTATCTTGTCTATCGACCACAATGAATACTTCTGAATGATGTTGGCGCTTGTGGTGATCGAGTAGACGTGGAAATGTGTCAACTTCACCGCAATAAAAACAAGCGGCCTTCCCAAATGCCATAAATCGAAAGGGTAACGCTCCATGTTCACATTCCCAATGATCATAGACTTCGATGAACTTTTCGAAGAATAAATTATTTCGACTTAAGCAATGAAAGCAACCAAACAAATAACTGTTATCGGCGAACATTAGACGCGGTTCTAAAAGGAAGATATAGAAAAAGGTCAGTTTATAAGTAACATTTTTGAAAAAATCAGTTTAGTGTGTCAAAAAGGTTAGGGAAAATTCTAGGAAATGATGCTAAAGAAATGTATACAAAAATAGTAGAATTAAAGAAAAATTACCGACAAACCGTAGTTCTTCGGTGGTTTTTTGTCGCTTTCCTGCCTCTGTCGAATCATTGATCGAGTGTTTCCTCTTCAGTGGCTGAGGCTCAATTGGTGGCACGAAACGATCGATGTTAGTTGATGGCAATTTATTATTTCTGTTCATTCGCATTGGGTCCATTGGCATATCTTCCATCTTAACAACACACTCGTTGGCTTCAGTTGGATTCAAAGTCATTGCCTCACACGTACTGTCGTCTGGTTCTTGTTTGATATCCCTCGCATTTATATCAGGAGTGCTACTTGGAGTTGAATCAGGCGTATCAATTGGGGACAGCGTCGGTCCCAACATTGGTAGATTCGATGTACTTGGTGAACATGTCGATCGTTGATCCGAAAAATTTGAATCCAACGATGGACGATGGATGTTTCTTTGATAGACCATGGGCTCTGTTGCTTCAATTTCAGCTTCAGCTTGTGCTTCTGATTTACTTGGCGCAGAATAGCTGGATGAAACTGTTTCTACTTTTTTCGTGGTTTCATCGTCGCTCGAAATAGATACAACTTCAATTTCATTTTCGCAAATCTGTGCCTCTTCATTTGATGCATCCGATTCCAGGTGATCGCTTTTTTCTGTGGCTTTACGATGTGAATCATCTTTTGAGGCACTTTTCGCATTCTTGCAAACTTGAGAACCACTTTGAATGTTGAAAAACTCCAACGTTCGTTCTAAGCTGGAAATAAAATCAGCATTTAGTGAAATTTACGAACGAAAATGCTCAATTTTTTGAATATCAATCTTATTAGTATTTTTTCTCTATTCAAATTGAACTTACCGACTGTTTACGCTCTTTACCAAATAGCCCTTTATCCTGTCATCAATTTTCTCTCCCGACTGTGACAGCAACTCGTTTATATTTTCTAAAACCGCTATTGTTCGGGTCTCAAAATCTGCAAGGTATTCATTCAGCAAATTCAGGATGGATCCCCAGTTGGACGAAATTTTATTTCCAACGATTATTCGTTCACAGAAAAATCACACAAAAATTGGAACGAGACTGTTTTTTCTGTCTTCAATTTAATTTCGTATTTTTTTTCACTTTCTTCGAGAGTGGCACCGTTTCTTGTTCATTACACGACACTCTTGTTGACAGAACTTCGCTCAATAAATTTAAAAATAGAGCCGATTGTATGAGTGTTCATATGGTTTGACTGATTACGATAAAAATCATGCAAAATTTCATTTTTTTTCCAATGGATATTCACTCACTGTATTAATGCCACACACTATTTTACTCAACTGTTTTTTGGGTGTAACAAAGGTCAAGGCAATTAGCATATTCCACGCGAATTTTTACTAGGTAATGCATTTATTTAAACAGCAAATTTTTTTATTCACTCTTTACTTTGGCCGCCTTCTCAAGTATGCGTCCAATCGAACACTTACATTTTCATCGTGTAAAAAACACAACAAATAAAACCGGATTATACACACGTTTATATCAGACTTGACGTCTACTGTTTCGAATGAATGATTTTGACTGTGTTTTTGCCAATCTTTAAAAGTTTTTATCTCACTTACCAACCAGTCTTTCGTAGCAATTTTGTTGTTCTGGTATCAGTACTCATACAAAACGTGTGATATCGCAGCCGAGTTTTATCTCATTAACATTTTTACATGGATCGCTTGCAGTGCGTTTGCAACACTAACAATTCGTTTTCAGTTCAACTTTCTTTTCTTATTGTGTTTTCTTGCATATTTATTTCGCTCAATCTCAATTGCTTTTCTATAGAAAGCCGTAAACAAAATTTACGACCAAAAAGTATGAATATTTTTAAACAGCTCCAAATGCGTATATTTTTATTATTATCGTGATTGATATCCAGCAACCGCTATTGTGAAATTTGCTGATACCTGTGTGCAAATAAAGTTACTGACATTCATTCAGTTACATGCAGCTGCAAATAACTAAAACTGGCTAAGTTGATTGAATTCAAAAATGTTATATAGAAACAATTACTTTTAGTTATTCTTTCAGCCAGTCGTCTAATTTCGGACTTTTTGGCTACTAGATGACTATAACTGTAGTTGGCTACAGTCGAATATTTTGTTCGAGATAATCACTTTTAGTCAGTGATAGTCACAAATTTTTCACAAGGGTAGTTTTGACTTATTTTTTCGAAATACATTCAAAGAGACCGTCGATATCAGAACGTATGAGTCTGATAAAGAAAATACACTTGGGAGATTCAAAGCGAACGGAATGAACACAAATGGATACGAAATGAACGATTTAACATACTCATATATGGGTAACATAATTATATTGGGAGTGTGAATTAATTCGTGCGGTTTTTTTTGAAAAATTGAAGCTTTATTATTATTTATTATTGAATTTTTATTCAATTTTCTTTTGTTGTCTTGCAAATAGCTAGGTTCCAACTAGAACAAAAGATGAAAAACAAAAATCGTGGCAATGATTGTTCAGTAAATGTGATATTCACGTTTTTTTTAATTAAAAAAACAAAAAAATTAAAATATCTCTTCTACATGTAGAATTTATAGGGGAGATCGTACACGATAGCAATCGTACGACTTAGAAATAGAATAGCAATTTTAAGTACTAGATACTTTAAATTCCTCATTAATTTAAACTCTCATTTTAAATTATTGACAAATTAATTTGTATCGGCATATTTCTTGAAGAAAAAAACTGTTATCTTCGTTTTCGTTTTCTTCTAGATTTGAATAAATGAATAAATTCAATTAGTAAAGAATCTATTTTCTGCATTATAATTTGCAAAGTCAATTTTTTTGTACCAAAAATTAGTTTATAAAGTTCATATCAGGGAAAACTATTTACTTCTCGCGGCGATACAATTTGGGGCTTTTTCAAAAAATTGCAAATTTTTGCGGCGAAATGTCATATTATGACAATTTCCATACAACATTTTCTTATAAATAATTTTCTTATTTTAATAATATTTTGGAAAAAAAAATTTAAGAATAATTTGGAGACAATAGTTGTTACAATGTTTACTTGATACAAGCAATGAAATGAACCAAAGTTATATTGGATTTCTACATGTAAAACAATATTTTTTGGTAAACAGTTTAGGGTAAATATATGTTAGTATGAAAAATATAAAATTGTCTAATATAACAACCATTTGGCTTAAAAAAAATTTACTTATAGGCCATATTTGTAGTCGTTATTGTCAACTTTGACTGAATCTAATCGTTCAAGTTTTTATTTCTAAGTCATCCATTGTATACATTTTGCTTGGTATAATAGACTAAAGTCTTATAGCTTTCCTTGAATATATTTCTCAAGTTCACATTTTGACCAAATAATGGCTGGCTTTTTACAATTAACCCCTATAACTTTGATGCCATTATCCGTCATAGAAAATGAATGGATTTGCTGGTTTTCTTTGGCTAATTCAACATGTTTCTTAAGCTTCACAAAAAATGGTGTCAATTCCGATTCGAAAAAAATTTTGATGTGCCCGTTCATAATGGATTTCAAATGCTGCAATTTAACCATTTTAGGAGTACTATGCCAAGCTCGGATGATCTCATTTTTCAAATCCTGTTCAACCATTTGTACAATGACCACCGCGACCGAACGCCGATAAATATCGTGGACATCGTTCTGTGACACATGCGGCATGCCAATGACTCTACAAATATGCAGAAAAATGTTCAGTAAATCAGCTTCATTTTCATATGCGATTCCGGTAATGCGTATATTGGTACAAAGTCGTCGATATTTGGTTAGCTCTTCTTCGTGAAGCACATTTTGCGATATCGACGCTGATTTAGACTGAACAACATTTCTTGTACACTCCTCCGATTTCTGTTTTGCAATTCGTTTTATTAGCGGCCAAATCTCTTTACGATCATCGAATGTGGTGTTCAATGTATTATGTTTAAACAAAACGAGACCATTAGCAAATACGACTTTGGTTCTGAAGTAACGTCTTTCCAATTGGTTCGTTAGAATCTTCACATGTTTCATTATGTCTTTCGGCAATTTATGAGCGGATATCTCGTGTTGCACTGTTTGTTGGATACTTTTTCCCGAAAAAGTACACGCTGAGCACTTGAATTTCAATGTATCGGCATCGTGTTCAATATGCTTCATAAATGAAGTTTCACTCATATCCATTTCACGTCCATCTTTGCAATTTCCACAAATTAAGCCTTCAATTTGCTGTGTTATATCGATTTCCTCCGATAATCGTATGCTCAAAAGCTGGTCCATTTCACTCTGAGAGAAGCAAACGGGGCTTTTGATTTCCACATAACTCAATGGATCATGCTGTGATTTAAAATGTTCCACCATTTCTGTGGGCGAAAATTGTTTATGACACAATCCACATTTCGACTTATTTTCTCTGTCGACGACGATAAATATTTTCGTTGGATGCCTGTGCTTGTGATGGCCTAGTAGATGTGAAAATACGTCGACTTTATCGCAGTAGAAACAAGCGGCCTTTCCGTATGCCATGAATCGAAAGGGTAACGCACCATGGTTACATTCCCAATGGTTGTAAACATCGGCAAAAGTTTCGGAGGAAAAATTTGTTTGATTATGGCAATGAAAACAAATGAACATGATGCTTTTATCGGCAAACATTGGACTCGGTCCTAAAGGGAAGGAAAAGAAAGAAATCAGTTTTTCGTATCAAAAAGGGATTCACTATTGTTGTATAATGACACAAAAAATGTCAAATTCAAAAGACCTACCTCTGAGTTGTACTTCTTCAGTGGTTTTTTGTCGCTTGGCTGTCTCGCTTTGAACGTTGCCCGAGTGTGGCCTCTTCAGTGGCTGAGACTCAATTGGTGGCACGAAACGATCGATGTTGGATTGACTTGTTGATGGAAATTCATTACCTCTGTTCATTTGCATTGGGTCCATTGGCACATCCTTCATCTTAACAATACACTCGTCCGTTTCTGTTTGATTCAAAATCGTTGTCTCACACGTACTGTCGTCTGGTTCTTGTTTGATATCCTCCGCATTTATATCGGGAGAGCTATTTGGAGTTGAATCAGGCGTATCAATTGGGGACAGCGTCGGTCCCATCATTGGTAGATTCGATGTACTTGGTGAACATGTTGACCATTGATCCGAGAAATTTGAATCCAAAGATGGACGACTGATGTTCCTTTCAAAGACCATGGACTGTGCTGCTTCTTGTCCCTCTGATTTACTTGATGCAAAATGGCTTGATGAAACAATTTCTACTTTTGTCATGGTTTCATCGTCACTCGACATGGGCTCAATTTTTATTTTATTTTCAACAATTTCGACATCTCCACTTGATTCATCCCGTTCCAGGTGATCATTGTTTTCTGTGGCTTCACGATGTGAATCATCTTTTGTGGCATTTTTCGCATTCCTGCAAACTGATGGGCCACTTTGAATGTCGAAAAAACCTAACGCTTTTTGCAAGCTGGAAAATACATGAAATATTATATATATATAGCCGTATGCAAAATGAGATTTGTGCTCAATTTTGTAGCACTATTTCTTAATAACAAATACTTCATCGAATGTCAATCGTATTCGTTATCGTATTTTTTCCAGTTAAATTAAACTCACTTATCGTTCACGCTCTTCACAAAAAGGCTCCTTATCCTATCATCAAATGTCTGTCCCGACTGTGACAGCGATTCATTTATATTTTCCAAAACCACTATTGTTCGGTTCTCAAAATCTGCAAGGTATTCATTCAGCAAATTCAGCATGGATCCCCAGTTGGACGACATGTTTCTTTCCAAAGGTTATTCGTTCACAAAATATTCCCTAATAAAATCACAAGATTTTACACTCAAATTCGGTCGTTCAACCAAAAAGTTTCATATTTTCATCGGAACAACACTTTTTTCTGTCTTCAATTTAACAATTTTCGTTTCTTTTTTTCTTTAAAAAGTGGAACCGTTACTTGTTCACTACACTATTGATATAACTTCGCACGATAAATTAAAAAATAGAGTAGTTTACGTCAATGTTCCAGGTAGTTTGATTGATTACGACAAAAATCATGCAAAATTTCAATATTCCATTTTTTTCCAATAATTATTTTCCCACACTATTTCACTCAACTGTTTTTCTGCGTTTTCAATTTCTTTTTTCTCTTTCTTTGAAAATTGGCTACGTTTCTTGTTCACAATACGGCACACTGATTGATACAATTCCCCTCAATGAGTCGAGAAATAGAGCAATTTTTATGAACGCTTCATATGGTTTGAAATAGGTTAGGTAAAAACTATGCTGACAATAATGAAATGTAAACAATCAACAATTTTTTAATGATCGTTGTCTCAGTTTAGTTATGCAAAACACTATATTTCAGTCGAATTACTTTTATTGTGTTCCGTTTCTCTCTCTCTCTCTCTCTCTCTCTCTATTTCATTCTATTTCTATTTTCTCTCTGGTAACCACATATTACAATTTCACCGCACTGAATCGTTCAACTAATGAGCTATTGGCAATTTGCATGGATAATTTTGCTTAAAGTACTTATGATGCATCTCGTGGAAACTGTTTCCATTTCTTCTTCTTCTTCTATTTTTTCGTCAAAACGCCGGTAACTTCACAGAAATTCTCAAAAAGATACCTTCAAACTGTGTATAACCTTTGAATTGAACCTGTAAAATATTTTTTCATTTTTTTACAAATATTTTCATCCACAATATTTTCGAAAGGGAAAATAAAATAAAAGAAATATTTAAAACACTACAACAAACTTTGTTTACTCTCTGATGCGTCTTTTCAATTAAACGTCCAAGCGAACACTAACACTATGATTTTATTTACGTAACATTTGTGCACACGCAACCAACAGAACCGTAATTCTCACATACACACATGCACACATACATATAGATGGGCTTGACGTAGAGCAAACGTTGAAACGTGTCAAACAGTGAATATTTTGCGCGCCTCTGCCGTTAATAGCTCCTAATGAAGTCCTTTGTAAACAGCAGTATATAGCTTAATTTACAGAATTCGTTGGTCTGGTATCAGTACTCACAGAAAGTGACTGTCTTATCTCATTTCATATCTCATAAAATCTCACACGGATCGCCCGCAATTCATCAGTCGAACTCTATAGCACACATTTCACTCATTCACTGTGCGTTCGCTTTTGCTCTGTTTTTGTTTTGTTTCCATCACACACACATATGTATTCACTTTTTCTTCTTCTTGAAACCCATGTTTATTCAGCCGTTCATTTGTTTCGCTTGGACGCAAAGTCATTTAGGTTATACATTGTTGCATGTTATTGTCTGGCTGGCGTTCCGAACGAAAGTCGCTAAACAAATTTTACGACCAAAAAATGGATATTTTTAAAAAATTCTAAATGCGGGAATTTTCAACGTCGATCATTTTTAGGGTGATGAATGCTTGGCACTACTTCTTTTGTAAAGTCGACAATTCTAGTTTATTTTTTTTAAATAAATTCAAAGAGACCGTCGATTTCAGACCGAATCGGATGAAGAAAATACACGAGAGAGAAAGTCAAAGCGATCGGCTTGAACAGCACACGTATGCATACTGAATGAACAATCCAACATACTCATGTGAATTCGTATTGACACCTACGGTCACCGATTACCCGCCAAAATGATGTGTGACGTCATATGTGGCTCCAATACACATTTACATAGTGAATTTATCCACGCAATATTTATATTTCATTCCCACTTGAGTGAAATATTGTTTATCACTCACACCATTCGACTCACAACACACACTTTCATTTTAAATTGTTCGACTCTGTAGTATGGGAATAGCAAAAATACATATTCGACCATTTCTACTGTTCCATATTCTCCCACTATATATATACATTAGGGTAGCCCAAATGCCAAATGTTTTAAAATTTGCAGCTCCCTA